TCCTACACTGGACCCTTTCCAGTGTAGGTCCAGGTCTTGTGCTTCTGGTACTGAAAGCAGAATTTCTATTCAGCCAATGTGAGCAGAACCCATTATTTCTCAGTCTCTTAGTTACAGAGGTAGACTATAAAGGTTTAAAAGAAATCCTATCTTGTATTTTTTCACATCAGTCCAATCCTGGATTTAGACAAAGTAACTTGCTAGAAGATACTGAACACACTTTGCTCTTCTGCTGTATGTTGGCACAAGAGAAACAATCTTACCTTGAAACACGATGATCAGACCTGATACTGTTTCTCCAGCCCACCAAACTGAGGGGAGGTAACCTGAGAGGTCATGCAGCCCTGCGCTTCTATCTACTGCAGGATCACATTTGTTAGACATTCAGGAAGCAGATCAAGTTCTGCCTTCCAATTCCTTGTGATAAATTACCATGCTGGTGAATTAATATAAAACACACTAGCCAAAACTTGCCTGAGAAAGTTGTAAGAAGCTGGCTTGTAACATTCTAAGCAGTGGATTTTACATCCTTCAGCGGGAAAGGGAAAAATTTCTTAAGACTCGTGAATTGGTTACACAATCTCCCCCAGTACCTGCTGTTACAGTGCTTGCCTGCCCTTATCACCACAGCACTGACATAGCACCCAACTTACACTTGTCTTTGTGCAGCCAAAGCTTGCGTATTATCTTTCTTTAAAAGGGTATGAAGACTATCTGGCTGGTATTCTCCTAATCTGAGTGTATTATGACTATTTCTCTCAGCTTGAGTTTTCAGAGAGTCTTAAACTTTTTAAAGCAATTTTGTGGACTGTAAATTGTGTGCCAAAGCAAGTAGGGTGCATTATTCCATCCGATACCCAAGTGGTACCTCAAGGACAGTAGTATATGCAGCCCCTTTGATTATCTACAACACTTCACACGTAATAACTTCTCTTGTTTAAAGGAGCTACAACTCTGATGACACATCAATCCCAGGTATCTATTTTGCAGTCTCTTGTCTTCTATTTTACAGTTGAAATGCTGATTTTCTTTCTCTTACACATTGTGCCTTACTGACTGAATTGCATCATATTTATTTCTGGCCATTATATCTCTTTTTAAGAACATTTTAAATCATAAGCCTATTATTCAAAGTTCTTTGGTATCACCTGAAAATTTTACAAGAGTATTCTCTGTTCTGGCAACTAATGAAAATACTGAACAATAACGGAGCTGGGACAGAGATGGTTCTGTGGGTAGAACTCCATTTGATACAGTTTCCTACTTTGACAGAACTTTAGAGCAATACATTTCCATTTTGTGTTGATTTCTTCTTAATTACTTGTACCTAGTGTATTTACAGGAACATGGGACAGTACCAGAAGTCTCACGGAAATGAAATCACATCTACTTGACTTAGCATCCCCTGCTCTTCACAGGGAGTTCAGCTCTGAAAACATCTCAGAGGACAGAAATGCTGTAGACATATCAAGTGAAAATGTGGTGTCTTAGTCCTTAATTTGTAACTTCATATCTGATTTTTGTATGATATTTTGCCAAGTCTATTCTTTTAATCAAGTTGATGGACTTTGTTCTTAGATCTCATTTATTCTGAAATAGGATGAAGTGTGAAAGTTTTTGGTTTGGAAAACCTCAGAACACAGGTCCTGTAGAGAGGCCAACTCAAGGTAAGCTTGCAGGGGAAGTCCTAAGTGATGAGAACAGGCAGTGACAAGAGATCATTAACATTATTTGACTCTGGCAAGGAGGATAAAGATAACTAAATTCTGCTATTATTTGTTCTCATTACCTGGCTATCTCAGAATTGCCTGTTTCTAACAGAAATCCAAGCAGGCAGGAAAAAAAAAAAAAAAAAAAAAAAAAAAAAAAAAAAAAAAAAAAAAAGAAAACAGAAAAAAAAAAAAAAAGAAAAAAAAGGCAGTCATGCAGTGTGATTCCACTGAAAAATGCTGGTAACAGAAATACTAAAGTAGGAACAACATGACCCAAGTCCTAAAATTGCAGTTGGGTGTAGCTATTCCTAATGGTAGGAAGCAGAACCAAGTCCAGGTATCAGCTTATTCTGCTCTACAATTACACTGAATCTCCTGTGCTTGCAATTGTCTGAAATCAGTAGATTCCCATCTGCCCCCCAGGCAGTATGGCAGTATATACACACAGCAGCAATACCAAGGGTTGCATATCTCATCATCACACCTCCACCTGTTCACTGAACAGTTTGGACCAGAGCAAAGAAAAGCAAACCTCTAAATGGCTGTGTCCCCACTGGCATTCAGAATAGACCAACATGGGCATATCTGTATAGCAAAATAGTTGACACTGAGGAGCTAGTGTCCATGTCATAATGATTTCAGAAGGTTTTACACTGATCTTATTCTAGTCTAACTTCATAGTCTGTATGCTAATAACTACATTAGTGTGTGCCTAATATACCTAGATTAGAGTCATTCCAAGGGAGTCCCTCTTGTGTGCTTTAGGGTGGCACCATGACATGAACCAAAGCTTGGTAATGGGAGATCTGCCTAAAAGCACACTCCTGATCTGAGCTATAATGCTAAATACGTGTGCACCTGATGATGCTAAAGGGTGCTGAAGTTTCTGCATTCATTAGGTCTGCCGTTCCCTTTGCAAAGAACTGTATGGGTTTTGTTGCCAAGATCCTCCTCCCACTGCGAACAAGAGACAGAAAATGGCTAAGGCATACAATTGGGGCATTCATGGCAAAGAAATGAGTTCAGCTGTGTGAAGATTTTGAAAATTACAAATTGATTTATCCTTGCAAAGTTTACCTTTATGAAATGGAACAGATTACATGCTATTTTAAGTTGTGTTATGTTTGGCTCTTAGTCATCAGTGGAGAAATCGTGCAAAGTGCGGATTGTGTTGAGCTACTGTGTTAGTGCAAATACAGTGCTGCAATGTAGTGTACAGTGAAGATGGATGCCTCTATCTAGCTTCCCAGGCACGCTTCAGGTCTGAAGCAATAGGTTGCTTTAGCTCTCATAAATCCTCCCAGAGCTTATCCAGCTCTCCACAGGGCCTGCTCCCATGCCCGTGTGCTCTAGAGCTTGGTCCACCAAAAAAGAAATTGGAGGAAACCTGTGTCTGCTGGATACAGTGAGCTGAGCTTAACACTGGTCCTGTTGCCTCAGCAGTAAAGGAAGCAGGATAGAAAGCTGGAGGTGCAGGCTGAGGCCTTGGGTTGGAGCTGAAAATGGGGGAGAGACGGCAGCCTGAGAGCAATGAGGAGTGGAAGAGTATTATCTCAGGCCTGGGAGGGGCAAGAAGCTGTGGTTGTGGTGGCAGTATTGGGCACAGGAGTGAGCAGGGAGGAGGTGGGGCGAGATGGAGGATTCTGATAGGGTCTGCTTGCCTCACCTTGCTGCATTCTCCTTGCACATCTGGAAGTTCGAACATGCTGTGAGCAGCACTGCAGGAATGGGCCACTGCCTGCTCTGCCACCACCTCCTGCAGTCTGGAGCAGGGTGGGCAAGTACTATGACCTGCAGTGCCCACCTCATCTGGCTGTGCTACTCTGAGTCATTTGTTTCTGCCATGCTCGGGCCCCAAGTGACCTGGGATAATGAAGAAATTGCTGTTTGGTCTCACTTCTCCAAAACCTGCACTTACCATCATTTTCCAGAACACAGTTTAACAGATACTTCTCAAATGTGCTGGCTGATCCCTATGGTTAAGAAAGTAGTCCAACATATTTTCCAATGCAACCAAGAAACCAAAGTCATTTTAATACACTCAAGTAAAATGTTGCAATATGTGATTCTGCCTTCTGGTAATGATTAATTCTTAAGAAGCACACAATGGTTACAAGCTTAAAAAAATGTTATTTTGGTTCTTTGCTATCTGTGTTTGTCTGCTGCTACTTTTACCCAAATGATAAGGAAGAATGTAACAGAAATTCCTTGTGTTTGGCTTACAAACCCCAACTGTTACGTCTGCTCCATCTTAAAATAGAAGATTTCATTTTTCCTCAGGCCATCTCAGTCAGGAGCTCCGCTCTGCTGCCCAAGCACGGGTCTGCGCAGCTCACAGCCAGCAGCAGCCCACAGCACAGCAGACACCCAGCCAGGTTAGCACATTTACCGAGCTGATGGCTAAACAAGCTGCTGGGAAATGTCCTGGAGCAGGTCTTGCAGCTCCAGTTGCTCCTAAAGAACTCCCTCAGCAGTAAGCAGAGCTGGATAGGAACCCTGAAGAGCAGACAGCCGGACTAGGAAAAAGCAAGAAGCATGTGGAGTGCAAGGTGGGAACAACTGTGGGAAAGCGGGCCTGAAATAAGAGGTTGGCTGCTGGAAGCCGGCACATCCCCGTGCTTGTAGGATGGCAAAGGTGAAGGTGTGCTGGTGGGGCTGCACGGGGTGTCTTGTGCACCCGCACCTCTGCTGAGGCACCGTGCAGGCAGCAGCCTGGGAACGAAACTCGGTATCTCGTACATCTGCTGCACACTGATGGTAAATCAAGGTATTTAACGACCCACCCATTCATTTAAATTCTGCAGGTCTCTTATTTGCAAACATGAGGTTTGTTTCAACTTATTTAAAGTAAGCTTTTTTTTTTTCTTTTTTCTTTTTTTTTTCCCTAGCTTTCTTATTTATTTCTCAAATCTGAAGCATTCTTCCGAAGGCAGGATGTGCACGGAACACAACCAGCCCCATAAAGATGCACACAGAGACTATTCCTCACCCATGTTTTACCAAGGGGCTGGGCTAGGTGATCTCCAAAGGTCCCTTCCACCTCCCCGCGTTCTGTGACTCGTGATTCTTTAAAACGCAGGCGGCTTTCCGAGAGGCAGCTGCCCGCTGCAAACACTGCTACCCGGTTTCCACCGGGACCTGACGCTTCGCAACACCCTCTCACCTCCCCGGAGCCTTGCGCACCTCCGCTCCGCGCCGCCCCAGCCCGCGCCAGGGCTCCCCCCCCGGGACACCCGCGGGGGCCGGAGCCCACCCGGCGCGGAATCCCGCGGGGCTACGAGCCGTTACCTTGTAGTGGCGGAAGCCGTCCAGCTGCCGGCCGCTCACATACCGCCACCGCCACATCGCGCCGCGCCGGGCGGGGAAGGCAGCGGCGGAGCTGGAGGGGCTGGGAGGGCCGGGGGCGGGCGCAGGGCGGGTCCGGAGGGCGGCTCCCACCCGCGCCCGTCAGGCCGGGGCCGGCTCCCGCTGCCGGGCCTCGACGCCGCCCGGCTCTGCCCCGCGCTCCCGCCCGTGTGGCGGGGCTCCCCGTGCCGGGGCTGTGCCCCGGGCTCCGTGCCGGCGAGCTGCCGGTGGCTGGAGACGCCTTCAGTCTGACGCCTTCGGCATTCGCCTGTGTTTTTCTGGTTAACTGTTTTTCTGCCTTCCGTATTGCAGATAGCGCCGAGCCACTGTTCGGCTGCAGATGTGCGTGAGTGTGCGGCTTTCACCTCGTGTTACCTTCACTGCACGCCGTTCGGCGGGGAGCTGAAGTTGTGCACGTCAGGGCCTGAGGTCCTATTAACCAACGGGAATCTATCCAGCAACGAAATCAATTACATTCCATTACTCAGCTCTGTGAGCTCTTCCAGGCATTGAGAGAGCCAGTGTTATTTTTACAAGCTGCACGGGTTCTGTAGGAATTTATATACAAGCTAAAATCACTAAGTACAAGCTGTATACAATGGCTCTTGTTCTCTATTATTAATTACACATTAATTACTTAAGACACACACCCACATTCTGCTTCCAGTAGCAACATCTGAACTTCAGGCTTTGAAAACAGCCAGTGCCGAAGTACTAAGCTTCACGTTACTGAGTTAATGCTTCATGCCAGTCAGGAAAGGTAAAGTATTTGAATCTGACAATTTTCAGAAGCCAGGGCCTTAAATTGATGTGCATGCATTCACTGGATTTTGATTTGGGTTCCCTTACACCTCCCATTGTTACTATTGTGTTTTTAAGCTGTATAATGCTATCAAGATTATCTACAAGGTGTCTGAGAAAAGGCTCATGACTACTCCTGTGGTCAGCAGAGGGTTTGTTTATATAACTAGGCTACTAAAAGTGACTTGATCATTTTCTAGTTATTGCCTTCATTCCTTAACTCAGACACTCACAAGCCTCAAACACAAAAGCAGAAATGCACCTGGACAAATATGAGATGTGATGGATAGATACATAGAATCACAAGGTTGGAAAGGACCTACAAATCATCTAGTTCAGCCATCCTCCTATCACCATAACTACCCAATAAGCTACTAAACCATTTCTCGTAGCTCCTCATCTAGATGCCTCTTGAACACTGCCAGGGACGATGACTCCACTACCTCCCTGGAGCTCTCTCTGAGAGAAAAAGTTTTTCCTTATATCAAATCTAAACCTCCTCTGGTACAACTTGTGGCCATTTCCTCGGGTTCTGTTTGTTGCCTGGGAGAAGAGACCAAAGCCCTCATCATCACAACCTCCCTTCAGGAAGTTGTAGGGCATGATGACGTCTCCCCTCAGCCTCCCCTTCTCCAGACTAAACAATTCCAGCTCCCTCAGCCACTCAGGTGGTAGAAAAGGCTCTTGCGTTTTTGAAATGTAACAAAATATTTTTCCTCTCTGCAGGCTTCTAAGTTTATCTTAAAAAACATTGCTGCCAGGAAGATATTGATATAGAAGATGGATACACACTGCAGATACAGAGCTCAAATTTTATTTCCTTCCCTCAAAACTTTCTTGCTGATGAACACATAAAATAATTTAAAAACAAAACAAAACTCTAGCAAATGCTCCATTATCCAGAAAATGCAAAAGATTGCATATGTGTAACAAGGCAATTTTATGGATTTGTACCTCAGCATGTTCTATGTCTGCTAACCATCACATTTGATTTTATTTGAAGCGGTCAGCTTTGGGTAGGAGAGACTGAGAGAGCTGGGCCTGATCAGCCTGGAGAAGAGGAGGTTCCAGGGGATCTCAGTGTGTGTAGATATCTGAAGAGAGGGTGCAAAGATGACAGAGCCAGGCTCTTTTCTGTGGTGCCCAGTGCCAGGATAAGAGGCAACTGATACAAACTGGAACACAGGATGTTCCCTCAGAGCACCAGGAGCACTTCCGTGCTGTGCAGGTGACGGAGCACTGGCACAGGCTGCCCAGAGGCAGGGTCTGCTTTGTGGGTCTGTTACTGAGACCTTCAGCAGCTGCCTGGACATGGGCCTGGGCCCCTGCTCTGGTGTCCCTGCTGCAGCGGGGGTTGAGTCCAATGGACCCAGAGGGCGCTGCCAGCCTCAGCCTGTCTGGTGTGCTATGGTATGTTTAGAGGTTTATTTCACAGTATATTTATTTATTTATTTTCTCCCAGATGTTTTTGATGCTTTTTCAGACAGATGTTTCAGTTATGGTTCAATCTACCTATTCTTCACACAGGAATGTTGGAAAAGCAATGAAAACAGCCTTAGTGCTATAGCACATTCCCTTGTATATGTTCTGGAAAATTACTGAGTTGTAGCCTGAGGAAAATAGAGCTCTAGCTGGCACCAGTAAGTGGGTATTATGACCTGAAAGAACTTCCATTTCATGAATTTGAGTGTGGATGTGATAAACATTAAGGCAAAAGCACAAATTGGAGCACAGTTAACTTTCAGTAAAGAAAAGGCTCAAGTTTTATAAAATCTCTGGCTTGAATATTCGTGATAGTTCAGATTTTAGCACTAAAGAAATTATCCATACAGAGCTTTCTACAGCTCAGAGGGAAATAATTTGAGGCCAGATCGACTCCAGTGAAATCAGTAGGGGAATTCCCAAGACTTCAGTGCTGTTTACTAATGATGTGTAGCACTGAAAGAAAAACAGTGATTTATTATTTTGAAAGATCAGACACTTTGTGCCACTGGTGCATGGAAGACAATATTAGAAAGGAGCACTGTACCATAGATACAAGTGTTATGAAAGAAAAAAGAGATATTACTGCATATCACACTGGTCAGTGATACCATTTAATTTGCAGAACTGAAGCCATAGCTTTGGGACTATGAAGTCTGAAGTTTTACATGCTGTTTCCTAGGAAACATTAGAAAACTGGAAATCATAAAAATGTAACACAGTCTACAGGAGAAAATGTGTTGGATCTAGACTGATTTGTCTGTGATCTAGGCTAGGATTTGGGATCATCTATTACCTGTTATAAGCTGATCCTGAAACATGGGCTCTAAAATACTTAATTAGAGTTATCTCCCTATCTCATCCCAATTAAGTGGCTGGGATGTTCGTGACTTTCAAAACTTTGCTAAGGAAATGACTTGAACCAAACATCTTCCTCTGTGTTCGAATTTGACATTGTCTTTGAAGGTTTTATACACTGGAAAGCTTTTAGAGTTGTAACTTAATGCTCCATCGGAGGAAATGAATCCATAAACTCATGTTAGAACGAAGGACAGGCACATTCCTTCAATAGAAACAAGTTCTTCCAGGTTCAGTAATATAAGCCTCCTTATCTGTTGATTAATTTGTATAAAATACATTTTCTTTCTTTGAGAGAGAAGTTCTTTCTGCATGGATTTAAAGATGCCCATGCAAGCAACAGCAGAAAAATAAATGCTCTTTTTTTTTCTTTTCTTTTTTTCAGATTTTACTGAAGAAATTGTTTTATTGATTACATGAAATTTCTAATTTTTTTTTTTAATAGATATTTAATGGAATACAAAAAGTTCTATTTCTTAATGTTTCCTAAGCAGTGGCATCATGATTTTGAGCACAGTCAATCGATACATCAGATCAAAGTGTGGAATTAAACTATTGTTCATGCCTGCAAGATGTGATGACAGATATAACCCACAGCAACTTTTAAAGGACTGGAAGAACAATGTACAAGTATTACAAAATTCCTGTAGGCCTTTGTGGAAAAGCTAGCTATCCAGTATTCTTTTTCCACAGAAAATTATTTTTAAAACAATCACAGCTCTATTTTAATTCATAGTATATAGGGTTGTTTTCTGGCTTCTTTCCTCTATTTCCATGTCATTTTTGTATTACTTTATGAAGAACATTAAAGCAAATATATAAATCTATTTATTGGGTCACTTTCTTGTGATTCCATAGAAGGAAATTCCTGCCAGATACAAGTATCTTGTAATCCTCAAAAGTAGACTACAGAAAAAAAATAACACAGATTCATTTATCTGGCTAAACTTTTGTGGTTTGAGTATTTCTGTTATTTAGCTCTAACATAACCTATCTAACTGAATAGCACAGTAATACCTCTTGAAATATCAAAGAAAACCACTCTGACGATGCATAATTGAACTAATTTGTCAATCTGGTAACTGGAAAAGAAATACTGCAAGTTTTTGGAAGGATGTGAACATACAGCTTTTAACTCTGTTTTGAACATAACAATCAAAGGCAGCATGAGTTGTAAATGATGATTCTTGCTCTTCTCTCTCTGCAAAATGCACTTTAATTAGTGGCAGTTTTACCAAGGGAATGTGAGATGGGTATTGGCCCAGGGTGCCTTGGAAAAAATACAAACCGTAAACAGATACATGCAATTATGGTTTAATAACAAAAATTAGCCGTACAGTGCCTTCTATCAAAACATATATATTTACAAATTCTAGTTATGCTGAGATATAAAGCATAATTCTTTTTTTCTTTTTCTTTTACAAAGATAAAAGAAAGAAGTTTATTATTCTCTCTACCAGCATTGACAGTCTGACCTTCTCAAGACAACATAAAAGCACTTAAAAATAACTGGGATGCCTTTTTTCTGCAGGTGCTTCCTCCTGAATCAGAAAAACACTGTCAAAGGCTATCGGCCTTCTTTGTCCTTCAGTTGGCTGCAGTGACTTTTTGCAAGACAAGCTCCATTCAAAGGCGTTTGAGTCCAACCTCCCTACATTTTGGCACTGTTTATATTTTCTTGCCTGCAAACGCATGCTGGTGTTAGTTTAGAGAGTTAAATATGTTAAGTTGGTGGCATATCAGTGAGCAAATTTCATATAAAGCGTTTTGTTTTGTGTTTGCATCTTGCTTCATCAGATACAAGCTGTGTATTTTTTTTTCTCTCAGAGAGTGGCCAGGCACTGGAATGGACTGCCAAGGGAGGTGGTGGAGTTGCC